TCTAAAATTATCCTAGGTATTGTAAAGAAAGGAAGAGACAAAGAAGAATGTATGGAATATGTTAGAGAGCGATCCACCTAGTGTTTCGTGACTTCCAGGAGATCCACCAAATATGAAATATATTGCATGCTTCTTATTATATATACTCATCAAATTGAGTGCATACGTCGATATAAGAAGAAAGATTTGGTATATCAGGATGAGGCCAATCATTATTATATATATGGATCGACATTAATCGAGTAGTAGTAATAATAATGATTTAATTAATAGATGACTGCAGATCTGTACTAATCATTAATGTTGGCAACTAAACTAATTAACATGAGTACGTACCTAGTACAAATAGTGAGTGTCATAAAAAGACTACAAAATCCCAACCCTCCAAGAACCAGATCAAACAACAGAATACAATAGTTGTCGAACAAATCGATCTTTGCGACAGACAGACAGGCAGGCAACTGAATTCCTGGAATTCGATGAAATGCCTAATTAATTAGAGAGAGTGACTGCTTTTGCTAGGGCGCGAGTCACTAGGAGACAAAGTTGTGTTTTGTCAGCATTCCTGGGCCCCACTTGTCACCAACGAAAATAAAGGCTTTTACGTACGTACGTAGACGACGTAGAGCAGAGCAGAGCAGAGAGTAGAGAGAGGCGCGCTCCTGTCCTGCCAACACGCGCTCCAATGACGCGTGCATACATCAAAGCTGGTAGTCTCCTTCATTCCCCAAATTCCATTTCTCTTCCTTCCTTCTTTGCTTTGCTTTCAGGTTGGACTCTGACTCACTACGTAACGGAAACGACTTGACCTTACCCCTATTCCCCAACCTACACCTTAATTCGTTTCTTTCCAATTATTTTTTTATATCATCCTCACAAACAAATCTAACTCTTGAGAAGAATCTTGCATAGAATCGGGCGCATGAGATCCACATTGCGGTGATAGTTTATTTTCAAAATCGTTCATCACCACTTCACCAGCATGCATTCAATAGCTTCAGATTGCTCGCACCCGGTTCGACGACGCCGGCGGGCACCAGTGGCGGACCCAGAAATTTTATCAAGAGTATTTAACGATAAATGTGGTGGTGGGGAACAGGCATAGGAGTGGAGTGGGGACTGAGATTGGTCACGTTGAAAGCAAGGAATCTTAATTTGAGAGGAGACGACTGACTGACTGAAGAATGGATGGGATGATTTATTTGGCTTTTTGATACTACCAATGCAATGCAGCAGCAGCAGCAGCAGCTGTTTACCAAGAAGGAATAAAGCATGGAGGCACCCCTCTTATTTCAAACAATCTTCTTCCCCTTACCAACACCAAAAATAAAAAGAAAAGCTCTGCCGCTCTCCAACCCCAAAAAACGAATCCCAGTCTGTTAAAATGTTCATGTATTGTCAGCTGTTGCGCCTCGTGCTTCAATTTGACAGAGGTACGTACGTAGTAGCCCATTTCCCTTTTTAATTAGACCAATGTTTTAGACAACGGTATTGGTCGTCGTATATCGGAAAATACCGGATAGCAGGGCGCCCGAAACGACAGGCGGTGTCAACGATACGAAATTATTGAACCACGACGACTAATTAATTAATTAATAAGGAGTTTGAATTTGGATATTATGCGCAAATCCAGTTGCCGGTTAGTTAGCGGATTAACTGGTAACCGCGAACAAACAAACAACAGTACTCTTCTTGTCTGTTGTAATGATGTTGTGAATCTCTTGTGCTTCCCTCCCACGACAATGATTTGTTTTCCACATTCCAATAAAGACATTACAACCCACCCCGGCCATATCCCCCATTCCCGCAATCTCATGCAAAAAGACGACAGCATGAATAAGTAATTAATATATGTGAAATTGAAAATCTCGATTACTGTACCTAAAGATTTGAGAAAAGAAGAAGTAAGTAGGAGAATTAGAAGAAGAAAAGAGAGAGAGAGAGAGAGAGAGAGAGAGAGAGAGAGAGAGAGAGAGAGAGAGAGAGAGAGAGAGAGAGAGAGAGAGAGAGAGAGAGAGAGAGAGAGAGAGAGAGAGCTGTTATTGTAGGGAGCCATCTTATTCAATGAAAAGAAGAAAAGGATGGGAGGAGGAGTAAGCTGGCTAGGTAGGAACTAGGAAGGAGGAATAGCAGTCAGTCTGTCTGTCTTTGGCTTTGGCTTTGCTCGGAAATCCAAGGCAAATCTGTCTTTGTCCTCAATCTCAATCTCCATTTCCATATGGCTTCCTCTTTCTGACAGTTCTGTTGTGTAATGTTCGGAAAACCATGACTAAACTGACACCCGCAGCTGCTATAGATGGTTTGTGGCTACCTACTGTTCCCCACCTGCATTCTTTGTTTGGTAAATTACTCCTCTCTCTCTCTCTGTGGAATAAAGTTAGATTCTGTTGGGCATGGTTTGAATTCGTTATGGGAGGCACTACAAGAAACATGGTTTTTAGAAACATAAGTAAATGTGGCTGATGTTGCTATACTTCTGCTGTACTTTAAAGCATTGGTACTTTGAGGTACAAATTGAAGTTGTGTTATAATGTTTTAAACTTTAAGGTACAAGTTCAATTGTTGTATCAAAAGAGAATTTATACCGTTATGTTATAGTACAATTTGAAGTTGGGGGTGGATACGTGGGGTGGTTAATCGATCTGCGGGTTTATGTCGATCCATTCGCAAATAACCCGAACCGCAAGTTGTGGATGTGGATTGGTAAATCTCCTATGCTGCACGTGAGGGTGGGTGGATTGCAGGTCATGTGAATGGCCCGCACTATATTTTTTTTACATGATAAAATGTTATTTCTTACGCTATCGAATATTCGTCGTATTTTCTAACCGCGCTACACGCGCGCGTACCATCTACTTCTAAGCATGGAGAATAAAAAAAATGGACTACTATTATTGGTTATTGAGTTCTGTAATATCCATATAGATATTGGATGCAAATGATAAACTATTAATTTTTATCAAAGTCGCAAAATGCATAAGTTTTATCGATTTTCTATACACAATTGGTTGATGGATCAATATTGAAAATTTTAATGCAAATACTACATGGATTCACATGAGCACTTCTAAACTTTAATGACCATGTTTTACTGGATTTTTAATAAATATACATGCTGGATTGCATTTGAGTTTGGACAAACCCGACCTAACCCGAACATCCTTCCTCCCTAACTACCTAACACCTACACATTTTGCTTGATATCGTATCAATTACCAGACAAATTTTATGGGTACATTATCTCTCTCTCCGTCCATACTATGTCACGCTTTTTTTTAATTATCGGGGCCATATATGCTTTTTATTGACGACATTCCATCACCAATCCCGGCCCTATACATCTTTCTATCTCTATATATCTATCTCTGTGACATGCACCAATCAATTTAGCTAGTTGACCAATATATACATATATGGAGAGGGCAAAAAGGAATTGTCTGCTGACGTATCTTTCTGCTTATCTTAAATTTTTTGCATTATCTTTTCATGGATTTTTTGCTGGTTGAGATTTGTCTAGGGAGTGTGGTTATTAGCATCCTATATAAGAGATCAGATATGTGCTACTTTTTCTGAATGAATTGTCCTACAATAGATCATTACGTGGCTAATCTTTTGCTATATCAGGGCCATTTGCATCTATAATATATATTTCTTTTGGCTTAGCTATCTGGAACAGACCACACACCTTAATTCCCACCCAAAATAAGAACAAGGATAAACTACACAGCCAAACCACCTTGACTTTTGGTTGAATTGACCAGCGATGTTAATCAATCTAGTAGTTTGTGTATTTTAGATGGATGGATTTGGTTACAAATAACTTAATTAAGACACATTTGAACTTGTATTTGTGTATCTGATTGGTTGTTCATAGGCAAGTACGACATGACAGGAGTACAAGAGAGAAATTTATGGGTCGGACCGACACGAGTATGAATGTTTCAAGATTATGTCGGGTCTAATATTTTGGGAACCCCATTGAGTATAGGCACAAGGCACAAAAAAGTTACTTCTTTTATAGGAAATACATCAAGTAGAATCGTGAGATCAAAAACCACAAATATAACAACACAAATGATGAATTGTTGTTTTTACTTTTTAGAGGTGAACATGAAAATATTAAATGTAATTACTATCATAAACAAAAAATTGAAAATACTTAAAATATACATGGACAATATTGGAACCATGGTGGTGGAGTTACTGGTGCTTCGTGCAGCGATTGTCTGGTGTCTAGAGCTGGGATTTACAAATGTTGTTTTTGAAGGTGATGCCAAGGTGATCATTGATAAGGTCAATCAGGGAGATGCTAGAGACACTCAGGCTGGGGCGGTTCTGGCTGAAGTTGTGCATTATTTTAGGGCCCAGTCGGAGTTTTTGGTTCGATTTGTAGGTCGGGGTAGCAATAGGGTAGCCCATTCGGTGGCTAGAAATGCCCTTTCTTTGTCCCCGGCTATGAGTCCTGTCTTTGATTATCAGACCTGGCTGTTTTCCAGAGTGTAACTTTTCTTGGTCTGATTCAATAGAAATATATATCTATCTTTTGTCCAAAAAAAAAAAGAAAGACAATATTGGAACCTATCCCATAATAATAATTAAAATATAAAGAAGACTGAGTGGTGGATGGTGAAGGTATTCGCCTCCCTCCCATGCAACTCCACTTATTCCCCACTATATATAGTCGGCCTTATGTTACATATGATAAAAATTTATCTATCACTTTCTTGTGTCGTCATTTTATATATGTCGCTGTTTCTCATCCCGTATCCATCTCTGTTTTGTTTTCTTTCGCCTACCACGTCTGTCATTATCGTTGGTTGCTGCATGTAAACTTGTCAATGGATGCTTACGTGAGGAACCACTTCCATTCTATATGATCTTCTTCTCTCTTCAATCATGGATACGCATCCCAATCTCCTCTTTCCATCCTTAATTAGTGCATGCATCTGTGTATGCAAATTCACTATTTGACGAGACTGCAACTTATTACAGACTACAGAGGGAGTACACGAACATCTGCAGCAGCAGGGTAGCAAAAACTTCCATAACCTTCCTTTTTCCTAAAGATCTCCACGGGCCAAATGGTCTAACACTAGAGATTAAACCCAGATTATCACACATGCCCAATAGGCCCTAACGTCATTCCTCAAAGCAGTAAAAAAGGGGGGCATAATTAACTAATTTCTCATTCAAGCAAAAACACGATACTGAGAGTGTGAAGACATCCATCTTGGACGCACCAAGAAAAAGTTTGAAGGAAAAACTATTTCAACCCACGCAGAACGGAAAAGAAGAAGCAGAAGAAGTAACACTGGATTTGAGAAGCGGATTTCAAAGCAGTTTGTGTTGAGAGGGTTCCTAACTGCCTTCCGAAGGGAGAGTTGTCTGTATGTTGGAAGGCATCAAGATGTTGAAACCATCTGCAGCAGTTGACACGATCATCCCAGGAATCTGAGAATGCCAATGCAGTTCCTTCAAATCCTTCTGACCCTGTTTGGAAAACCCGCACCAGAGTCAAAATTTGGCCCTTTCAAACTAATAAGATGAAGAAAAAAAAGAAGATGCTCTCTTCTTCTCCACTAGCCCTAGTAGCTTTACATTGCTACTCTCCACAGATCAAAATAATATGACAACAAGTACCTGATGAACAAAGAGAAGCTGTGGAGGAAGATCTGCCGGGGCATTTACTTGCTCTTTTGTTTTAGCTTTAAACTCTGCTTCCTCTTCCTCGTCCTTCTCCAGTGACAGATCCCATATCCTAATAATGGTGAAGGGTCAAATTTGTGAGTTCCCAAAGGAAAAACAGCAAGTATCATTATCATTTGTGTAGTTCAGACTTACGTCAATTGATTATCGGCTGATGAAACAGCTAATGTGGAAGCCTCGTGGTGACTCCATTCAATGGAGGTTATGGGGAATTTATGGTAATCAAAGTGTGATACAACTGATGTATCATCGTCCTGCACAAATATGAGGAAAATAAAAGGAAACATCTCATTAGAAGCTGTACTCTAGTTTTAAAGCCAAGTAATAAAAAAACACGGGCAAAGCAATCTCCGAGACATTGACAGTTTTCCTTCTTCACTAGAAGGAGATACTCTAGGTATGGTTGTTTGAGCTTTTGCTTCAAAATAAACAGTCTATCAGTTTTGGTAGAACTGAGAAAAGGGTTTCTTTTATTGGGCTTTAGAGAAAAATATTTTATAGTAATGAAAAGAGTAATTCATTGTATGATAGGTTGTTTGTCTAATAATAAAAAAATGAGTGAACTTTGGAAACAATATAACGGGTATAACTTTGACAATAACTTATTGCATTATTGTTCCAAATAGAAGAAAGAGAATAATTGGAATTCTTCTAAAAAGGTCTGAAGAAGTGTCATCGTTTTTGGTTGCAAGCCAAGTTTTTTTTTTTTTAAAGTTCCATGGGTTTTAGCCCCCGAAGCTATCTCCAACATCTAAACCGTTTTCTTGGTGAAACCTTACCAGAAAGACGAGTGTAACTTGAGAACAACACAAAGAGGTCACATTCAGAGCAAGAAAAAACATACCATATTCTGTGACAGCAACCTAAGATCACGAATAGAAAATGTCCCGTCATCACATCCAGAGGCCAACATCATACTAGCAAGCCTATCAGAATTCACAACATTAGATGTGAGCGTACACCACAAGGCGACAAAGACCATCACAAATTGAATTTAGTAGTTGATGGGCGTCAAGTAAGAACCTGTTCCATGAAATGACATTAACATCAGCATTGTGTGCCTTGAAGCGAATTGCTGGTACCTTTCCTCGACGAGTATCCCATATTGCAATAGTCCCATCAACAGAGCAAGAGGCAAAGATGTCATCTTCTGTGGGACTCCACTGCACATGTAAACATGTTCCAAATAAGATCCTTAAGAAATGCAGAAAAGTATCATATGGCTAACTAACCATATAGCAAATCAATCAAGTACCTGTAGATCTTCAACACTTGAAACATGTCCAAGAAATGGTGCAGGATCAACATTCCATGAAGACCCAGATGTGGGCTCCCACAAATGAATAGAATTCCTACAATCCCCTACATATGCATAAAACCACAAGAGTAAAACATTTAAAGCACATCAAATGTGAAAAGAGTTTTAAGGTGGAGGCAGACAGCCGGAAAAAAGGACATTCTAAGTACCTGACACCATCCTTCCAGCAACACGAGGACTCCAATCTATGGCATACCCTTCTTCATTGTGGCCTTTGAAATTAACTAATGGGGCCTGATTTACAACTGGAGGAGGATCCTTCATTACTGCTTCTGTTTTGGACTCTGCTAAACCATTCAGATGACTGCTGAAATCCCATATCTGTAAAGAAAGGAATCAGGATTCAAAATTTGAATGCAGGCATAATACACCCAACCCTTTTGGCAAAGTAGATATGGAGCTGCCATCATATCTAAAATTTCAGCATCATATGCCATGCCATCCACTCCTTGATCATTTAGAGCTCAAAACTGACCTGTACATGACCAGAATCTGACCAAGTTGCACATATATGAGGACTCTGAGTCATAGCACGAATGCGATTAACACAACCTCCATGGGCCACTCTCCTCATCTACAGCGTGGCAAAATTTTAAACGTCAGAAAATCCAAATGGTTAAGTATGGGGATAAGGAAAAACCAGTTGACCGAGAGATAAAAGACTAAACAAAGTGCAGTTGTCACCTGCAAAGAAGGTGCCTTTGATCCACCAGCCTCCTCGTCATCACTATCTTCATCACTATCACTACTATCGTCATCCGCGTCCGATTCCCCGTCAGCATTCTCGCTAGGCACGAGTTTGCGTCTTTTACCAGAGACATTAGAGACTTTGAATATTCCGATAGAGTTCCAAGCAGGGTTCTCTGCCTATAAGAATAAAAACATCGAAATCTCCTATATAAGTAAAAGCATTCAAAACTCCGGCCTACTTCGATCATAATCAAAATCCGCAAGAACAGCAGCCGCAACCAATATCAGAAAATGTAATCCTTGCAATTCAACCCCAGAGGATGGAAAATCTCACCTGAGTTCCCGAAACTAAATAAACTGTGTGGGGAAAATCAGTCCGAACTAAACCGAGGGAATCATGGACGATATCGAAGCTGCACAAAAGAAGGAAGCTTTGAGGAACTAGTGAATGAAAGCCACAATGGTGGGTACTGAGTGAGAGCAAGACAGATAGTAAGTAACCTCAAGCAGGGCCAGCCAACGTGAAAGGCGTGAAGAGAGTTGTAGGCAGAAGGGTCACACTCGAGCTCTTCTCCTTCCTCGAGCTTGTCGACTCCAGGTTGCCAGACCGTCATCGGCTTGGAAGGCATAGTCGAAGACGACGGTCCGTCGTACGACCCCTGTGTAATAATTGCACAACACCACGAAAAGAGAACAAAAAACTTGAGTAGAGCTGGAACCGAAGGATTGAGAATAGTATGCGCAATAGAAGGAGGTGGAAGCAGAGACCTTGTTCTTTTTGTTCTTTCGCTTGGCCTTCTTAGGGTTAGCGCTGCGAGCCATTTTTTCTCGTGGCGGTGGTGAGGCTGAGGGGAGGTTTTTGCCTAGGGTTTTGGAGGAAGAACGCCGTGAAATTCAGATTTTAGCTGATTGTATTACAGCAAACCAGGCACTGGTAGGATTTCAATGGAACTACTGGCCTTCTATGATCTTCCGGTTTTTTTCTCCGGAAAAATGAAACACCGTGAGCAAAGCCCAAATCCTGGCCCAAGTCCAACTGTGAGATGCGGAACAGTGAAAGGGCCTTGGATATTAATTTTGAGCGGGCCCAACGTCATTGGGTCTGGACTTTGCTAAAGAAGAAAAACCGATCTTCCACAAAGCTGGCCTCTTCATAAACATAGATATGTTCCACCTGAATCCTCCAATTCAGCTATATACATGGAATCTTCGTAATTATCTCATGATTTGAAATCTGTTAACCAAGTTGTTCGGCATACGCGTACAAGGGTTTCATTCTTACCCTAAAACAAGTGGTGATTTATTCCAGTTTCCCCCTAGCTAGTTCATCACTGTTATTTAGGGGTGTGCAACGGTTCGGTTCGGTCCGGACTGGACCAAACTCATGAGAACCGCGGTCCATTAGTGAAAGACATGTTAGGACCAAGGACCGGACCATTCTTGCATTTGGTCCATTTGGTCCGGTTCGGTCCGGTCCAAATATGAGCTCGGTCCACCATTTCTTCAGTAATTATAAAAATCAGGAGGACCAAGGACCGGACCGCATTTAACTCGGTCTGGTCCGGTCCGGTCTTAACAACGGTTTGGTCCGGTGTGGTCCGGTACGGACCGGACCATTGCACACCACTACTGTTATTGTATTTTATTATGTGATATCATTAACATAAAAAGGTATATGGCTTTTTCTGGACACCAATCATCGATGTCAACAAACACCAGCTTTGAGCATGTGAATCTGCACAGGAGAGAGATGTCAAATTGTTTTGATTTGTTTTCAAGCAAAAGAAACAATAATTCGAACTTCTTTCTTTATATCAAACGGATGACGACGAGGGAAAATTGAGCTGTCAAACAACTTAAAAGGCCAGAGCCTCCACTCCATTGTTGTTTATAAATAGGGAAAACAGAGTTGCCACATCATTTCCATCACAGCATATCCCTCGGTATTTGCTCTCAGCTTCTTTGTCCCATTTTCCGGATCCGCTTTCCGGTTCTCATTTATTCCTCTCTCGTAACGTCAATACCAAAAAAAACCACGCCTAATTATTCCCCCCGGTCTCTGGAAATTCAAGTCACGGTTTTTCTGCCATCGGTCTGTAATATTGTTGTATGGCTGTTCCACGTGATCGCCGCCGCAGCCGGGCGTCGTCCGGCCAAGTGATGGTGGCGGCGGTGTTGGTTGATATCTTCATGGTTGTCGTCGTCCTAAATGCCGGCGGCATCAGCGCCGGCGGGCGAGCCACGGCGTTGGATTGGCGGAAGGAGACGAGAAGGAGGCTTATTGCCAATGGATTGGGTCTTACACCGCCTATGGGGTAAGTTAAAGTAGTTATGGTTTTCCTTTAACCTCTCTATGCCAATTTTTTTAGGTTCTATTTTTAGGTTCTATTTTTATCGGAGAATAATAGAATAATAGGGTCGTGAAGAGAGAAGAAAGAAATAGTATAGCATAATAGGATAAAGACAGGAAGGGCCTAATTAATATGGCCATTACTGGGCCTGCTTATTAGTTAGGTGTTACATCTGAATGATAGGGTCTATTATGGGTAGATTATGTGAAAATCTGCAATGATTGTAAAATCGTATCTGGAAATTAGGTGTAGATTATTTTGTTATGAAAAAACTGTGGTTCAGTTATTTTGTTGGATTAAAAATCGTATGTCGGTTTAAATTGATATATATAAAATCGACCGAACCTTCGATACGGTTTCACAAACATGGAAACTTTGTAGAGAGATGTTATTTGATTTGCATTCTGAGTATTATATAGTTTAAGCATTATGACCCAATAACTCTTGATGTGGTACGTTAGTATACTGATCGCTAATTTATTGGCTCTACGACCCAATAGTTTTTTTTATGGCAGTGGTATACTAAATTAGATTTCTCGATCGAATGTAATAATAGAATCTTAATGGCCAAACCATTTAATTCAAAAGCTTGAACTATTAATCAAAGATTTCAAGATGATTTTTTTTTTTTTTTTTGTTTACACTTCCGATTGACTTTATAGTAGATGATATGATCCCGTGTGAATAATTTGACCTAACCGTGTGAAATTTGGGTGGCGGATCAGATGGAATAGCTGGAACCATTTCCAGTGTAATATTTCAGAGGAGATGATAAGGGAAACAGGTAATTAATTATCTATTCTCATTGAATTAATTTTTACCAACTAAATTGGTTCATCAAAATTCAAAAAAAAAATATATGTGTGTGTGGGTTGATTATAATTATATTTGTTGTGGTACAGCGGATGCCATGGTTTCATCTGGGCTTGTCGCTTTAGGGTATCACTACATCAACATAGGTATCTATAGTTACTTGCTCCTCCCCTTGTTCCTTCTTATTTATCATTTTATTCTGTATTAAAACAAATTTTAACCATGTAATTAATTATTTTCTTTCATCTTATCAGATGATTGTTGGGCTGAACTTAACAGGGATTCTGAGGTACTCTCCATAGAGGATAAAATAAATTAATATAATACATTATGACGATCCAAACTTTGGCACCATGGACAAAACTAGGTCGAATTTTAGAGAGAGAAAGAAAGATGAAAATGGGTATATAAATTCAAATTCTTAGGATGAATAGAGCACGCATATAGAGTAAATAGTTATATTTAAGGTTGTACGTAATTTCGTAGTTTAATAATCTTTAGAAAATGGTATCAAAGTCATTCGATAATTCCATGAATGTCGCGACGATTTTTATGTCAATTAATTTTTTTTAAAAATAATCCGTAAGTGAAAATATATGTTCGACTTCTTTCCTCGGTCTTTTTTAACCATCCTTACTCTTCCGTCTAAAATTCATAATATTTTGTGAAGTATTTATTTGAAAATAAAGAATGGTGTGACGATGTGGTGAATCATATCTCATATATGCCATTAATATAATTCTCATGTGCCCTGCCATGCTATTTTCTTATATATTGATTCAACGAAGTCATGCCAAGTTAATTGTTAATACTAAAGATGATCAACTTTGAATTACAGTTGTTTTCATCTCAAGTTTTGGAAATTAAAGTGTCAGAGTCCGGACCATCATATAATGTACTATTAGCTCGATAATTAACGGATAATAATCGATCTTCAAACTAATTGAATAAGCATACGGAATCATTAATTATACTTTGGGTGGTGGTAGGGAAATTTCGTGGCTAAAAATTCAACCTTCCCATCCGGAATCAAGGCGCTGGCAGATTATGTCCATGCTAAAGGTCTCAAACTTGGAATTTATTCAGATGCCGGGTACGTACGATCGACGTCGGTAATCTAATCTCCCATTAAAATTCCTAACCTTATTTATCTAATTAACTAGCTTTAACAATTGATTCGTTTCCCTTGATCTCACGGCCGGCCGGCCGGGTTCTGCAATCTGCATTGGATCCAGTTCTCAAACTTGCAGCAACCTAATGCCAGGATCATTGGGCCACGAAGAACAAGACGCCAAAACCTTTGCTTCCTGGGTACCTACGTATAATACACATCTATATTTTTTTGTTTTTGTTTTTGCCGATCCATCCTTCGCTCTCCCACGGCTGAGTTACCTTTTGTTGGTTGGGCTATATATGAATATAATTACAGGGAATCGACTACTTGAAATATGATAACTGCAACGACGACGGGACAAGCCCCAAACTGAGGTTAGGAAAAACACTTAACTTGGGTTTTATGGCAAGCCGATTCATTAGTACAAGTTTTACGCTTGGGTGTCCTCCTTAAAGGGCATCGTACTAATTGGGCTTGGTTGACAGTTATATACAAGGGGTTCCTTTCCTTGTATTACCGATGTGTACGTGAATTGTCTCATAACATGTACAAACAGGTATCCTGTGATGAGCAGAGCACTGTTAGATAGCGGGAGACCAATCTTCTTCTCTCTATGTGAATGGTACGAAACTTTCACTAGCAAGCTAATCATGATGTGTTCTGGACTTGTGTGCAATGACTCTGTTTTTTTGGGTGCAGGGGCAGGGAAGACCCTGCGACTTGGGCCAGCGGGATCGGAAATAGTTGGAGAACAACAGGGGACATTAGTGACAATTGGGACAGGTTGGTACCCTTCAAAATTCAAATTCAATTACACATTCTGCCCAATCTGAGTGCAAGAATGTATAATTTAGTGTGTGAAATTAATCAAATTCATCTGCACTGCAGCATGACATCTTGTGCAGATCAAAATGATCAATGGGCGCTTAATGCTGGTCCAGGAGGCTGGAATGGTAATGATCCACATCAAAATGTGCTAAAGGGTTCGAACTTAATTGAATAGTTATGGATGATTCATATAATTTTATGTATGCTTCTGCAGATCCTGACATGCTTGAAGTTGGGAATGGGGGAATGACCACCGAAGAATACCGAGCACATTTCAGCATATGGGCATTAGCCAAGGCAAATCATACAAATCTTTTTGAGTCTCTCTATAACATTATCCACTTGTTGAAATGGGTTTCGCTAACTCGTTGAGTTTTGCCCCCGAAAAAATTGTTACAGGCGCCGCTCCTCATTGGGTGCGACGTTCGGTCCATGACCAAAGAAACGCACGAAATTCTGAGCAACGACGAAGTGATTGCTGTGAATCAAGGTAATGTGGCCCCTCGCGTCTCGATCGCGCGCGTTTTGAGCTCGTCTTAGGGGGGTCGTTAGAAGGTGCGATATTAATCGACTTGTTATTGTAAAAATCAGATAAGTTAGGAGTGCAAGGGAAGAAGGTGAAGAAGGAGGGGGATTTGGAGGTTTGGGCTGGACCACTCAGTCACAACAGAGTGGCAGTGGTGCTGTGGAATAGAAGCTCTTCCAACGCCACGGTCACCGCGGAATGGCCAGACCTAGGGCTCGATCCATCCGCCATTGTTGAGGTCAGAGATCTGTGGGAGGTGAGCAATCCACCCAACTGTTTGTATTTTCCATTAGCTAGACATGTCAAATAATTAAATGGGCATTTGATATAATCTCTTTTTTGGGGAATGGAATGCAGCACTTGACATACCATCGAGTGGGAGTTGAAATCTCTGCTGAATTGGAGCCTCATGCTTGTAAGATGTATGTCTTCACTCCAACACATTCTGGAAAACTACTTGGGCACGAGTTGTGAATTAAACTAGATTGATCTTCAACAAAAAAAATGTTGTATCCTATACTTGTGTGTTATTTCCCCCAGGTCTTGCCTTCCAATTTTGTATTTTGTTCCATGCACATTCATCGAAAAAATGGATGATATTGGTCAAAATTCAACGATTGGGAAACACAAAACTCAAAAGAAGAATGTTATGTTAGGGGTCGTTGCGATTGTTAAATAGATGTATTGTTAAGAATGCATGTATAATTATATACATGTATTGTCGAATTTGATGCATTGTAGAATACAACGTTTGGTATGTGTGATTGTGTATGTCGCATCAGCTAAAAGCTGAGACAAAACAATCTCAACTCAACTATCTCAACAATCACAACTAAAAGTTGAGATATAACAATCACTCAAAATGAGTGATAGTTTCTGTCACATCATAGAAACAATCCATGTATTGTTTCTGCTAAAAAAAACAAAAAAACGATGCATTGTAAACAATACATGCATAATGACAATCTCAACAAAACAATCGCAACTTCCAAACTACACCTAGTATATATGCATTTCCTGTTTTAAAATTCTACGTGGCTGTGACAATTGAATGGGTGTATTTATGAGCATTGACTAGCTTGCTTATTTACTAGTCGCGTACAGTTAAACTCTCTCTTACTTTGAAGATCATGTGTTCATTTGCAGATAAAATTTTAGGTTAGCCGCAAGCTAGTTTTAGTCATGCTAAGTAGATTGATTAGGATCCTTGGGGAATGTGATCCGAGTAGCATTTATCTACTTAGTAAATTTACCGATGTCTTACAGCAAATCAAAACAATTATGCTCGAGTGAATGAATGCAATTAAAATTTAAACAACTGGGTTAAGTTTCCCTAAATACGATGGCCGAATTTCTCTTGTATAATTACAAACAAAGGAAATACAAGGCAAATAAGTTAAAGCACATAAAAAATGGTTGTTTTGGAATAATTTTTCTTAGATGATTATGCATGCTAACTCATTAATAAGGTGACACAATGTCACATCTATTAAGATGCTCTATCCCTTCCACTAAGGTCATTCCCTACTTGTGCATGGGCCTCTTCCACCCGAACCATGTACAGCCCTAGCTAAGACTGTAACATCCCATTCCGGCAAAACCCATATTTCGATCGCTAGAAAAGTTCGCGATTTAAAATCGAGCGTTTTGATAATATTTCGGCGGAAATCGGATTATCGATCGATCGGATAAGTATACGTATTAATTATATATAAATATATATATATATATATATATATTTAATTACACTAAGCGGACATATATAAGTTCCGTCCATTTCCATCCCATCACATTCCAATTCTTCTTCTTTCTATTTCGGCCGAGAGAAACCGAGAGTACAGGGCGCGCAGGGGAGACAGAGCAGGAAATTCTCCGAGCTCCAATCTTGAGAAATACTGATCCAAAAATCCCGTAAGTAATGCCTAATTCATCCGTTCATCGTGATTTATCGATTTAGAGCTTTAAAACGAGTTTTTGGTTCAGGAATTTCTTGAATTCCCGATAAGCCAAATTAGGGTTTCGGAGTATCCGGAAGCCGGATTGTGTCCAAATTTCATATACGAGCTTCCTGCAGCGAGGTAATCAATCCTCTAGTTCTAATCCCTGAATTTCGGCAATTATTTAGGTCGGGGTCCTAATCGCTGAATTTAGCTCCGGCCAGGATTTGATGTGTTTTTATCGAGAATTTGATCCGGAGCCTAGAACTAATATTGACGGGGATACTGCAGGGGATATTAGGACGGTCTCGGATTTTAATTCGGGGTTCGTTCGTGAAATTGACGTTTTAGTACGGGAAGGTTAAACCGGTGTTTGAACGACCAGAACTGGTGAGGGATTAGCACGGCATACCGGGTTTGTCGTATCACGATAATTATATTGATGCTTAGAATTGACCTAGGTGAACTAGAATGGCATGATTAGGGGTGTATGGACTTTTGTGCTATATGATGAACCCTGGACTGCTATATGATATTATTGACTTGCCCTAATCGATATGGACCTGGCTTATGCTGATGATTGTGTATATGTTGCAAATTGTGGGCTTGACTGTTGATATGCCTTATGATGGTTCGAAAAGGTGATAAGGTATGATTGTTCATGATTGTTGTATTTGGATGCACATGTGGGGAAATATATATTCTCTGGTGATATTATGATGTTTAAGGAGGATGACTTGCACGAGGGTTTATCCCGAGGAAGTGCAATTATACGACTCCTGATTTACCTATGTTGAGCCAATTGTGGCCGGGTCAAGTACATGTGTAAGTAACGAATTATGATTAAGCAAGATGAGATATGGATCATGTATAAGGACATCAAGTAAGAGTGATTTGGTCTCATGGTCAATTACATAGTAATTAGGGCTCCCCATGCTATTACTCCGTTATGATATGTTATGTCACACCCCTGATGTGGTGTTGACCGTTGATTCATCACGAGATATGACCACACCCATCGTGGTGTCAGGTCCGATATGACTACACCGGCAGTGGTGGGTCCGATATGACCACATCCACGAGATGTTTGGTCCGTATTCCCGGGAGAGTAATTAGCATGGGAGTAGCCAGGCGCCTATAAGTAAAACATGATAAGATGCATATGCATAAGTCAAGGTGGTTGAGTCTTTTGCCTATTGGGATGTCGGATGGCTGAGCTCTGATCCTAGTGCTTGGGCTTATTTGCTAGATGTATGGTAGGGGTATGCTCTGTTATGAACTCACTATGCTATGATTATCTCACTCAGCTATGAGCTGACCCTCTTTATCCTTTTTCTCTGCTTATGCCATGTGTAAGCAGATCATCATCAGCAGCAGTAGATAGGTGTATAGGTGGGAGCTGAGCAAGAGTTGAAGGCAAGATGAGGTATGGTCTTCAACTATTCTGTGCTTGGACTACTACTCGGGATTTTGGCCAGTGATCCACACCTTTTTGTAAAAATGTTTTGAGAACGTTTTTCATGTGCATATTAGCTTCTGATGTAGTGTGAGATATCCACAGGTGTGGAAAGTTGATGATATGTGTATATGTTGTGTAACTGTGTAAGTTGTGACGATTATGGTATGTATAAGTATGGTATGTAGTTGTGGAGTATGAAAAGTGTGGCTATGGCTAAGAAAAGCCAATGCCTATGGTTGTGAATATATATGTTTGTGATGAATTATTTTGCAGGATCAGATGGAAGAACTGTTAGCCCATTACGCGAGTAATTCATGTCGAAATTTTATTTGGATAAATTTCGGTAATTAATGTAACACCCGAGATTATTTCCGCTGCAATTGTATGAACAATATGATTAGGTAATATGTACAGGGTAGGGTGTTACAAAGACTATTGCGATGAGGGCCAATGACCCTTCCACTTGTGCTAAAGCCCGACTTCGAAGCTACAATAGAGGCTTGAATAGAGAGAAAATCTCTAACAATCTTGTGCAAGACATGCTATTTCTGCTTATTTGATTTCCACTAACTCAACACATCTAAATTGTAACACCCTACCCTGTACGTATTACCTAATCATATTGTTCATACAATTGCAGCGGAATTAATCTTGGGTGTTACATTAATTATCAAAATTTACCCAAATAAAATCTCGACATGAATTACTCGCATAATGGGCTAACAGTTCTTGCAACTTATCCTGCAAAATCATTCATCACAAACATATATACTCACAACCATATGCATTGGCTTTCATAGCCATAGGCACAGTTTCATACTCCACAACTGCATACCATACTTATACATGCCATAATCATCACAACTTACACAATTACACAACTATACACATATCATCAACTTTCCACTTCTGTGGATATCTCACACTACATCAGAAGCTAGTATGCACATGAAAAACGTTCTAAAAACATTTTTACAAAAAGGTGTGGATCACTGGCCAAAATCCCGAGTAGTAGTCCAAGCACAAAATAGTTGAAGACAATACCTCATCCTGCCTTCAACTCCTCGCTCTACCCACACCTAAGTACTTGCTACTGCTACTGCTACTGCTGATGATCTGCTTACACATAGCATAAGCAGAGGAAAAGGATAAAAGAGGGTCAGCTCATAGCTGAGTGAGATAATCATAGCATCGTGAGTTCATAACAGAGCATACCCCTACCATACATCTAGCAAATAAGCCCAAGCACTAGGATCAGACCTCAGGCATCCGACATCCCAATAGGCAAAAGACTCAACCACCTTGACTTATGCATATGCATCTTATCATGTTTTAATCATAGGCGCCTGGCTACTCCCATGCTAGTTACTCTCCCGGGAATACGGACCAAACATCTCGTGGATGTGGTCATATCGGACCCACCACTGCCGGTGTAGTCATATCGGACCTGACACCACTATGGGTGTGGTCATATCGGACTCAACACCACTCTGGGTGTGGTCATATCTCATGATGAATCAACGGTCAACACCACATCAGGGGTGTGACATAACATATCATAACGGAGTAATAGCATGGGGAGCCCTAATTACTATGTAGTTGACCGTGAGACCACAACACTCATATTTGGTAGTATTATACATGATTCATATCTCATCTTGCTTAATCATAATTCATTACTTGCACATGTACTTGACCCGGCCACAATTGGCTCAACATAGGTAAATCAGGAGTCGTATAATTGCACTTCCTCGGGATGAACCCTCGTGCAAGTCATCCTCCTTAAACATCATAATATCACCAGGGAATATATATTTTCCCACTTGTGCATCCAAATACAACAATCATGAAAAATCATACCTAATCACCTTCTCGAACCATCATAAAGCATATTAACAGTCAAGCCCACAAATGGCAATATGTATGCAATCATCAACATAAACAAGGTCCATATCGGCTAGGGCAAGTCAATAATATCATACAGCAGTCCAGGGTTCAACATATAGCACAAAAGTTCATACACCCTTAATCATGCCATTCTAGTTCACCTAGGTCAATTCTAAGCATCAATATAATTATCGTGATACGACAAACCCGGTATGCCGTGCTAATCCCTCACCAGTTCCGGTAGTTCAAACACCGGTTTAACCTTCCCGTACTAAAACGTCAATATCACGAACGAACCCCGAATTAAAATCCGAGACCGTCCTAATATCCCCTGCAGTATCCCCGTCAATATTAGTTCTAGGCTCCGGGTCAAATTCTCG